CCGAATTGAATCACATTTTCACGATTTGCTTTAAAGACCCGTTTTTTAAAGATCTTGGTTTTTCAATCGAAAAACCATTTTCACTAAAAAATTTCCTTGACCTGTCCAAATGAAAAAGCACGTTGTCAAACCTACAGAAAACAATTTTTCAAGGTTTTAAGCGAGATTTTGAGCGAGTCTTCTGCGTCTAAAACTTAAAAAAAGAGGGAAAAACCGCTAACATTCTTACACAATTTATAAAAGAAAAACAAGTGTTTTTCTTTCTGTTCTGTTTTTTCACACATGTTATTAGCAATTTGTGATAAAGGTGACAATAAAGCAGTTTCACAGAGCCATGATTCGTAAAAATATTTGCTGTGTTTTTAATGGAAATGATAACTGGTAAAAAAGTGTTGAAAACACAATTTCTTCGAACATCGAGCATAAGTAATAAAAACAGACTCATCGCAGTCTTTTTCTTCACACTGTATATGAGTTTCTGAACTTGCAAAGCAAACTTGATTAACGCTGACAAATGGAGAAGGATCTTCACGCATTAAGCCACTGGAGAACCAAGCGTATTTAATCATTGGCGTGAATACATCTGCACTCAATTGATTGTGCATTAGACTGGCTAAACGTATGATGTTATTTCGTTCGTGTAAGTGTATATCTAGTTCATCCAACGCTACACGATGATAACATGCTTTGAGAAAACTTTTAATTTGTCTGTTGAAATAACAATCCACTGGCTGTAGCTCGTCAGTTGTATTTTGTGGTATTTGTAAACGTGTGACCTTTTTAACACAGCAAATATTTTTACGAATCATGGCTCTGTGGAACTGCTTTATTGTCACCTTTATCACAAATTGCTAATAACATGTGTGAAAAAACAGAACAGAAAGAAAAACACTTGTTTTTCTTTTATAAATTGTGTAAGAATGTTAGCGGTTTTTCCCTATTTTTTAAGTTTTAGACGCAGAAGACTCGCTCAAAATCTCGCTTAAAACCTTGAAAAATTGTTTTCTGTAGGTTTGACAACGTGCTCTTTCATTTGGACAGGTCAAGGAAATTTTTTAGTGAAAATGGTTTTTCGATTGAAAAACCAAGATCTTTAAAAAACGGGTCTTTAAATCGAAAGCGGGCAAAAACCATTGTGATATTCGGAATCAGCACGTTCGATTACCTGTTGTCAACTGAGTTTAAGCTCAAAAGCGAGGAGGCAGTTGGTGGCCTTCCCTCGTAAGAGACGTTTGTTTTCATCTACATTCAGAACACTGAGTTCGCCGAACCTATCCTCTCTTACCTTTCCTACGCTTCAACGTTTCTGCAGACTTTTACTTCTTCACTTTTCCAGTATTTCAACAGAACACAACCAAAACTATCAAATGCAGGCGAAGACTGACGGCCTCTAAGTCTCCCAGCTCCAAAAGACTGCCCAGCGAGATTTCACATTATCATCCAAACAAATACCCGGACATAGCCAAAGCACTAATATTTTCAGAAAAAACCTCCCATAGAGCTGGTCAAGTTGTACTTGGAACAGCAATATGAATGTTGAAACAGCTTACTAAGCGAATCCCGCTCACTATCGACTCAGTAGGCCAAACAGGATCCCAAGGTTCGACCGACAGGTGAGCATACCCGCTCTAATATCAACAGCTTGAGAAGCTATCTTGTAGAGCTCGTCGAGATGTAATTAGAATTACAGTTGGAGCGTTGTAACACTTTATGAAGCGAGTGTCTCTCACTATGGATTCTGGAGGCCAAACAGGATTCCAGGATTTCACCGACAGGTCAGCATACTTGCCGTAAAAGAACGTAGAATGATTCTATGTTCTTTATAGTTTCATTTTTTCACAATAAAACGGTGGATGAATATTTTCTGAGTATTCACTTGAGTAACTGACTACTCACTGAGCAAAAATACTCAAAAATTGTTAGTAGAACCCAAATGAGTACTCATGGACGAATTATGAGTAAAGTCGTACTCAGAGTATTAGTACTTTCACTAGGGTTTACATGCATCCTCTAACAAAATATGCATTAGATCATAGACAGTTGTTTATCAAGTAATGATCGCCTATCAATACCATATCGTTTTGATAAATCACTGAATGTATGCTGGTAACATTCATTGCCTTCTAATAGAGCACATCTCCTTTCCATTCTCGATGAATAGTGTATGCTCTTAATATAAATAGATAAGTTATATTACACGTATAGTATTAAAGCAAATCTGCAGAAAGTGGAAGAACGAAGTAAAAAAGAGAATATTTAGCTGACTCAAGTCAAGAAAAAATATTTTGTAGATGATTTTAGCACACCACAGGAAATTGAGTGACATCTATAAGATTTTGATTGCTTGAAATATCTTATTTATTTCTGTATAGGCATCGTATAAGTTAACGAATCAGAGTTTTTCTCATTTTTTCTCGAAACATTATGATTACATTCATTATGGTTATTAGTATTTTTGACAGGAAGAATTGACAAGTAATAGAATCCAAGCTGCAAAGTATCAGTTATTGATTTCCTCTGCGAAAACGTAGTGGAATGAATACTAAGTAACTCGAAATATTTACTTTCTTTTGTTTCGAAGATCCTCTACTCTTTATTTTATAATTACTCTCTCTTTCTTAGCTCCATAACGGATAAAATAGTTAACTAATGATCTTCAGAAACATTCTTCTATCGTACACTCTTTGTTGATTTTCAAATAACTTTATCGGATGAAAATATAAAACCTAAACAAGAATCAAATGGAATGTTATTTTCTGTTTTCTATTTTTATGAGCTGTTTGAATAACTAACATATTTCATCAATCTACCATCGTACTTGTGATCATAAAAATGAAAAAGAGGAAAGAACATTCTATTCGATTCTTGTTTAAGTTTTATATTTTCATCCGATAAAGTTATTTAAAAACCAACGAAGAGTGTAAAAAAGACGAATGTTCTGAAAATCATTAGTTAAATATTAGATGAATAGGAGCAAATTCGGAAAGACGTAGGGTGCATTTTTACAATCTCATTCTTGTCTTGTTTTTAGATGGTTTATACGTAAAAAAGATGTTTGTTGGAAATGAAATCTCTCTGACAAATCAGTTACACGAGCCTCTTGTTTTACATATAATTGTTATTGGTTTTCACCATAAACGAGGCTACCAAGTACGCATTACTTTTTAAGTGATAAACTGTTCTATATTTTATTTTTGATCTCTGTGAAAGGTTGAATACACGTATCCTCAATTTCCTTCCAACACTGAATTACCGAAAGCATGGGTAAATTTACCATCATTAACATTACCAGACGGAGCACACAATCGAGACAAAGGTAAAAGATCGATATAGTCTGATAAACTAGACCAGTATTTGTTAACTAGATGCATGGATGTGTTTACCATTTTGTACACATTTGCATGAGTACTTTTTTCTGTCTACCTCTGTTCATGTCTATAGCCAGAAAAAAGATATTGTCCATGGTCGTCATTTCTCCATCGAAACAAGAAAAAAAATTGTAATTTTTTGAAGATAGGCATAGACAACTTGCGATCTTGGAATTTGTCCTTGACTATGTTTAGCTAATGGAGATGTCTGAACAAAGGAGAGTTAAAATTTAATTCTCATTCTAGATTTAGTTTACTTCCATTTACCATCATTGACCGATGCAAAAAAAACTGTTTTCGGTGTTGCATGTTATCGCCAAATCAATGCTAAGGTATATGGCTTTTTTGTTTTGAAGGTCGTTATCGCAACAGCTAAGATGTGAAGAAATGGTTATTTTTATCGTCATAGCCATCTTGAGAACAGGACGATAATGATCTATGAAAAATCGTAGTTTGAAAGCTTCTAATTGTCGTCATTGTATTTTAGAATATTCAAAATAAAGATGCAGATGTCACGAGAAATTCTATTCAGAAAAGTGTTTGTGTTCTATTAACGAAAGTATGTATCTGTCAAACAATAAAATGTACACTGAATAATAACATACAGTTGTAAAGCATTGGTTTGTTTTTGTAGCGATAGAATTTTAAACCTTTGATTATTCTTCATCGATTTTCCTTGTTTATTTTTAGCCTTATTATGGTTTAGTATCATCAAAATTAGAAATAGTTACACATGCCTATTTCAACGAAAATGATTTTACAAAAACGTCGATATTAGAAACAGTTTACGAAACATTGAATGAAACAGTACTTTTACAAGATGAACAAGCACCACTCATTGGTATATGAAGAAGATAAATTCTTAAAATACTAATTTATGACAGCATTAATCTTTATTCGATCTATTATAGGCTTATCTGTTCGAGATCTTGTAATTCATTATCGTCGAAAAATTCTGCTTCTATTCAAATTACTTTTGTTACAGAAAAAAGTAAGAATAATAAAAAATTTGAATTAGTTTAACTTATGTTAGAGTACAATACGTTCTTTGTTTCTCTAGTATGTGGTGTAAAAGTAATTGCTGAAACGCTAAGCCCTACTTCTGCGCATTTGCAGCGTGCAAACAATTCACACTAGAAAGAGAGCAAAGTTTGAAGCAGAAACCTGCCATTGAATGATTGATTGATTATTATTAGCAAGAAATAAAACAGTGCAAGATGGTACAAAAGTCTAATGCCAACAGAAACTTTTAAGCTTAAAGAGAAACTCTATAACACCTTATAAAGTTAAACACATTCATACCTGACAAAACATTTTGGAACATTTTTGTAGACTGGCGGATAGAAAAAAGTTTCGACGACGCTGAAAATCTTATTACGAGCTTAACCTTGAAGCTATACAGAGCGAGCATCGCTAATCGATAGTGCTGAATGCATGAAAATATAGCGTTTATTATCAATGTGATGTTGTTCGAAACTGGCACAGTTACTTTTTATTGATGATCTAATAGCTTTCAAAAAATTCATATTTTGTCTCACATATTTATGATGCTAAACTAACTGGTTCCTACGGACGGAAAATGTGTGAGATAAGATACATTTTTAAACTGTTCTTACAGAATAACTGTAAAAAAAGCTGACTTTAAAAGTGTTAGGGTCCGTCCTGGTAAAAATCTATTCCAATAACCATAAGTCAAATCTTGTCAAAAATTTGAGGGAATGGTAATCATGCCAAAACATAGTGACCAATCCTTTTTCGTGACTCAGTCTTTATCCAGCTGCGAGATGTAGCTACAAAAGTGATAAAGATGTGGAGCTCTGATTGGTTTAAAATTGAAACGAACACATGCGGCTAGAGGTTAACAGAGCCTGATTTTTAAATATTTCTGTTACTGGTTTTCGAGAGTCATTGGAACCTGAAAGCCTTAAAAGTCAAAACTCGGGGTCTGTTATGTACTAGCTTCATTCTGAAAACAACGCGAGCTCTCCAGCATTTGTCTGGATGGAGATTCTGAGAAATACGAATAACCCTAACGGAAAAAAACAATTTTGCGATATGATGGCACTTGCGTGTGATACAGATTTTAGAGCTCTTAGCAAAAATTGTCATTACTTTTGATCAAAGCATTGCTCAAAGATGAGAGACGTTAAGTTTTAACCAGAAATGTTTGCTTTACAAATTAGCATTATTGAAAGCCGTTTTGATTGGCATTTTCTTGCTGAAATATCAGAATTTCAGAAAAATGAGTATTTTATGTCTTTTAAAAAACGAATTGATACTGACAAAAACAGCAGAGACTGGACATCTTGGGCTATCAAACCATGCACTTATCTCAATATCGACTTTTTATAGAAAACTGTATCTCTCGCAAGGAGGGGCCTTTAGATAGTTTAGTCATTAACTGAACTTGTCCAATTAGTATCGATTACTCACCAGCTATTTTCGACCATACTAAATGGAAATAAGATTTATTATACAGTTTTGGAAAGAGTATCCGAAAACAAAAATCGGTCTGAAAAACAAGAAGAGGGCGAGAGTTTCAAGAACATTTTTATATCCGTTTTGAAAATTTTTTTTTGTTATGATTGTGTTTAACACAAACTTTGCTCTCTCTATAGTGTGAGTCACTAGCATGTTGAAAACACGTAGAAGTAGTACCCGATATTCCAGCAATTATTTTTGTATATGCATTTGCCGAGTTTTCCTATCTGCTATTTAGAACGTCTTTTGTCTTATGTAGGTCTTATTTTTGATGACACCAGTTGAAACTCTCGTTAAAACAATGATCAGTTTAGTCTCATTAATGCCAGGTAAGAATTAATGTGCTTTTGTCTGTTATCATTATAGTTTTCTGTTGGGCTTATTTAGATTTGGTTGAAAACAATTTAGATGAATGTACATATATCGATTCTAGTCTACTTCCACAACTTAGACCAATAATTAGTAATACGGATTCAGATGATGTTGTTTTTGAAACTGAACAAACAATAACGGAAGAAAAAAATAATCAACCCCTATCTGCTACGAAACAAAATGGTATGATGAATAAGGATAATCTTTACACGTTCTCCTACGTTATACAAAATCCTACGTTTAGATAAATTGCCATTATCTCATTTAACAACTGAATCTGTTCAACCTGCAATACCGACAAAGATAAATGGTGAGTGAACTCTTTGATACCAAAATAATTATTTTTTGTCATTTCTGTTTCAGATTCTCAACAGTTACCCTTTTCTCCATCAGAAAATATAGCTGTCAAAATTCATTCGACATCTTCGAATTTGTCGGATGTATCAGATGAAGAAACTAACGTCACCCCATTTGTGCAATCGAAACTGAAAACTCTCAAAGGTAGCAGTAGTGATTCAGCGTCAACGGATTCTATGCAACAATCGCCTTCATCAACATCATTGAATATTCTAAAACGTGCAAATACATTAAAAGCAAAATTTAGTTCAGCCATAAATAGAATGTCTCTGCCATTATCAAACTCAACGACAACAACAGATCAAAAAGTTGGAGACACCACCACCAACGAAGCAGCAGAAAATACCAGTGATACATTTGGATCATATACAGCCAAAGAGTGTGGGCTTCCATTACAATTATTCAAAAGAGTACGAGGAAAGCGAGGAAAATTCTTTAGAACTTTCTTTATCTTCATTTTAATTTAGAATCATTTGTTTCATCCTTATTTAAGTATAAATTCATTGGAACAACTTTATTCTCCCTTAGTACGTGGTTTTATTGTTGGAGCAACAAATAGTCTATTCAAACAACGAGATAAATTAGATGTTACAATTGAAGTAAAACTTCAGGTTTTATCCTACGACGTTGTTCATCTGTTTCAATCTTTGCTTATAGGATGATGCTACTAAATTCGACATACGTTCTCCTCTGCTACGTCAACAATTACAGTTGACAACAGCTGATCTTAGATTTCAAGAATTTATTCTACAAAATGTTTTACCGCAAGAACAATCTCAACAACAGCAACAGCACATCATAACAGAGGCAAGTAAGTAGCGTTTGAGACAGTATAAGTCCAATAGATTTATATAGTTTTTCCTGTTTGAAGGTTGGGAAGGTAACGATGAATGGATCCGCCTACAATTTAAAGATTACTTAATATCATTATTAGCTACAGTTAAATCAAATGGTATGCACTTCAGAGCTTTAATATAATATCTAACATGGAAAATAATTTCAATGTCTCTGCGTTTAGATGATGATCTAATGAATGATTTTAATCGTTCTTATGTCGAAGCATTCAGATCAACTGATGCTTATAAACAATGGTTAAATCAAGAGCAGAAGATATTTGAAACAATACCTGCAGGGTATGTAACTGACAATCCTGCGAAAAATTATCAAAACAGTTTGCTTTCAACCTTTTCTGCTTGATCGCAATAACCAGAACAAATTCGAAAAGTAATTTCAATAGCTAAAAGAGTTATTAAGAGCATTTTTGAAGTTTTTCCTTCAAAACCGAAAAAAACTCAATTTATTTGGTTTCATAAACTTTTCTGTCATTTCTGTATATTCAAAATTTTCTTACACATAGTCTGATAGCAGAAAGTGTTTTCTTCACAATAAGACGTTTTACAGAATTTTCCGATGAGTTTTCGCGGGGATATAAGCATCATGGCCAACGCTCTGTAAAATGATGGAAACGTCGAAAAATGTGAAAAATTGCAAAAGAATGCACAAAATGTGTTTTTTCTCTTGGCTACCGGGCTTGATTGTGCCACATTATGCCCCCCCCCCCCCCCTTAAACTTCATCCGATCGAGTTAAAAATTTTACCAGAGGTACTTAAGGCACTATTGCAGAGGCATTTTTTAGGAATTTCATTTTTGAGCTTTCTTTACCGAGTTTTAGGGTTTCTAAAATTGAAAAACTTGCTTTTTGAGATGTTTTCAGTATTTCCTATAACTCGACCAGGAAAGGTCTCAAAAAAATTCCCTCTGCGGAATGACTTTGAGTAACTCTGATAAAATTTTTAACTCGTTCGGATGAAATTTAAGGGGATCATAATGTAGCACAATGAAAAATCGAGTTTTCGAACACACAACTCAGTTGTGTAGAATAAACTTTTTTGGACAAAATGAGACGTCTTCAAGCTCTTCACGGCATTCTACGTTAAAGTGCATTAATTATCCGGAGAATCCTAACCTACAAAACTAGCGGAAAAACAAGAAAAAATGCTCTTGAGAAAGCAAATTGTTTCTGAAAATTTCCACAGGACTGTATTTCAAACCGCTCATTTTGTCTAGGATGATTACATGCTATGTTTTTTTCAGACATTTGTTTGCTGGCCAGTTGAATGTGCAAGATGTTAAACTGCGTGTCTCACAGTAAGTTAATGACATGCTAATAAGAGACAATAGTTGACTATTTGTCCCTTTACTTAGTGCACTACAAGACACTGAAGCTGGCCGCAAACTGAAGGGTGCTGTAGTTGACACATCTCAATTCGTTAATGATACATCGCGTGCAGCAACAAAAGCTCTTCAATCAGCTAAAACAACAATGACCACATTTGTTGGATCATTTACCAAAAATTGGTTCAATAAACCGACGAAAACTAATGAAACTACGGATGCAGTCGAAGAACAAGGAAAAATAGCTGAATAAGTAGATGAGCGTACAACTTTTCTTTCACTTTTTTATCGTTGTATGTACTGTGATTGTTTGTGTTTTGATAGTATTTTTTGCATATTAGTCTTTCTTTTAAACAGTTACAATTACGATGAAAAAAAGGGATGTGAGTATTTGGTTAAACTACCTTTCTTGAGAGTGGGCGGACAATGTAATGTAAGTTTCTTTGCATAACACTAATATCTCACGGTCTCAGGATGAAAAACATTCCAAGTTGAAGCTACTTTTTTCGTATGCTTGTTTCCTATGAAATATATGCGAGCACTACAGAGACATTTATTTGATGAGAGAATAGCGGATGAACACAAATACCACTATACAACCATTTCGCGTATCGGTCAACCAAATGTCTGTGCGTTACCATTTTTGTTGTTTTGTTCTATTTATAGAATTTACAGAAAACATTGTGAAAAGCTAGAAGATTTCTTATTTTTTAGTTAAAAGTGTGCTTGTCAAAATCCGCACGAAGCTCAATGTGAAATATTGTGCTATCTTTCTGACACAATCAAATTTCTAATAGCCCCATTTCGCTGGAAATTGGGTTAGGGCTGTTGGAAAAACCACTAGCAGAAAACCGATCATATACTTTGAAATGAGTCTCGATCAGGTTTTGAAGAACACACTCTTAACTACAAAATGAGATATCTCTAACTCTCCACGGTCTCTCATTCAGATATTATAAAATCAAGAAAAATAGCAAAACGTAACGCACAGACAAGTTACGCGGGATGGCTGTATGGTATCACCCCTCTTCTCTCTGCGATTTGAAAAAATCTCTATTGATTCTATTTTAGTCTTTTTTTAAACGAATTGCTTATTACCTTCAATAATATTCTGTCAATATAAACATATAGAACTTAAAATTTTGATTTTATATTTTTCATCTATATCTGTGTATTTCATTCAGTATTTATAACTGCCTTATTTTTTATTTATAACTTGGTGTTTTTAGTTCTTTCTGTTTATTTATTGTTGTTGATGTGCTGATAATGGTTGTTCGAAATAATAAAAATATCGTAGATTTATAACGAAGTAGTAGAGCACACCATCGATCTCAATATGTGAAAATTTAGGTCTGCAAAGCCACATCTTAACTGGTGATAGATCTGATCATATTTTCAGTTCACACCGTCGATTCTAAATACTTTCATATTATTTTCCGTCGAAACTAATTTATTTTAAACTCTTCTATTTCCATACATAATCTCAGATCATTATCTAACTTATTCCACTCAAATATAAAACGAGGAAAAAAGACACTTTGAATCTCTTTGAACCTGTGAGTGTATTTAGTTTATTGGATGTTTGAGGACGCAAAGAGTGATCTTTAAATACTTACATACTTTCGACTCTCGATTTAGGTAAAACAGATGCAATAGTCTATTGAATGGCATCAAAGTCGTCGAAGTATGCAGCTACTCAACAACTGCGACAGAAAACTCAAAGCGGTACGATTCACACGACCAACACTGATCGACACCGAAACTCCGAAAACAATACAGTGGTCTAGGAAGGATTTACAATGAGATGGGTGACTATTCAAAGGCTTTGACCTTAGTGAACAGACACTGGAACTTCAGTTGAAAATACTGGGCCCGAATCATCCGTCTGTGGCTACGACATACAATAATATTGGAGCGATTTACAAGGACATCGGTGATTATTCAAAGGCTCTGACTTGTTGCAAAAGGGCTTTTGAAGTTGCTCAGAAATCCCTGCCGTCTTCTCATCCTGATATCGACAAGTATATAAGAACTGTATGTGAGATGAATGACAAACTTATTACACACTTTTAGGATAATGTATGACTTCTGTTCGTGTCCTCGTCATGATACCTCTTGTGTATCTAAGGAACAAAACAGGACTATACTTACTCAAACTTCACTCAATAGACCAAACGAAGCCTACTTATATGCTCGAAAGTAGCTTCAGCCATGCAAAATCATGCTAGACACTGTCTTTTCTTCGAAAAACTTAGTCCATTTCAATAGCACTATGTTCGTTGAGAATATTGACAATACTACTTACTTAATCAACTGTGAAAATAATTATCTCTGCAACCATTATATGTGTAGAGATGAAACTTTCAGAAAATGTGGAAGTAATGGCCACTATCCAAGACATTAAAAACTGCCAAGTTAACTGACAGTTAATTGCCAGTTAACGGGCACTTTACTGGCCGCTTTTAGACCGTTCAGACAGTTGTTAGGTGGTTTTCTGATGATTCAGATGGTATGGTTTTGCCATCCGTAATAGGCGGTTTTTCAACTGCCTAATTCGTTCGTTTTATTCTCTTTAGCTAAATCATCATCGATAGACAATGTGGACACTTTCAACTATCGAACATTACAGCACATGTTTAAGCAGTAACTTTTCACAGTATCACTCAGCAAGAAAAACAACATTATTTTGAGGCTATGTGCTTAGATGACATAACACCAGAGTAAACCATCTTTAGACAAATACATAAAAGATAAGAAGCAGTAAATATTATAAAGAGACTTGCAGCAGTTTCAGCGGAGTAATTATCGGTCCTTTTTTCTTCTTATTGTGAGTATTCTAAACCGTTTCAACAATCAATGATAAACTTTTAAAATCATTTCTCTTTTCAGTGACATTCTTCGGTGTGTTTTAAGACACATCGAAGTTCTTTAAAACATAGAATTCTATGTTCTAAAGAACTGTTAATCACTTAATATACTTTTTATTAGATGCGTGTATGTGGAAACAGTAATTCACCAGTTAGGAGATATGTACACAGATTCATTTCTCAATTCTACCTACAAATAAAAAAAAATGACGGTTGTTTAAAAATAGAACGTGAAGTGGTCCACATTCAGAACCCAGAGAACTATCTCCCGTTCTCAGAATATCTCTACGTTACGTGGTTCTCTAGATCACACGACTCACTTAAACAAGAAAAAAAAATCCCTGAACAATTCCAAAATGTCTATCGACATAATAAAAAGTAAACTAGTGTACGAGACAGAGAGATATTAACTTTAACTTCTCAATGTTTTTACCGAAGCTTTTAAATTATATACCATTCAATACAGTATTCAAAACTGAAGAAATTAGAATAGTTCGATATCTCTGCTTTGCTATATATCTTTTTTTCACAGCAGTGGGATCATTCTAATGACTTTAATTTCATATTGACGGAAGAAAATAGAATATTCCTGACATAAAAAGGATCTTTTCAACTATCTATTAATAGTTTGGTTTTTTACACATGAAAATGCGTGTTAAAGCCAAAATGTTAAGGTATACGCTTTTTAGAAGTTAATTGGATACGAGAAAATCTTTTATAACTTTACAAGAAAAAGATGCAAAAGTACTTAACTTTCCAAAAGTAAAAATACAGACAAGTTCCGCCACGGTCACCCTAGACAGACGTTGGTGAGAAAAGATTGCAGAATGCCGCAGGATAGACATAGGAGACAAATCCTGCCAGATCTCGTGAGAAAAAACTTGCGGATTGAATAAGTGAAAAAGTCTTGCGATGTTTCTTAACTTTACGCAGGATTTTTTCCACGTTAACCCTACATAAACTATGCAGGATTCTGCCATGGCCGGCAGAATAAAAATCCTGCGTAAAAGTAAGAAACATCGCCAGATATTTTAATACCGACAACCAGTGGGGATCCTGCATGAATTTTGATTATTTTTTTCAGGGGGTACCCTCTGATGGAAAAATATCCTGAAAATCAGAGGTTTGTCTTGGAAAAATCCATGCGTTTGAATGAACGTGCACGAAAAATCTCATGTAAAACAGCGTATTGGCCCTAATTGTCCCAAATCGAAAAAATCGAGCCGCTTTGGGGGTGATGATCTCGGTTTGAATACTGCTTGAAAACGGATAGATTTTCCGAAGATTCTTTCATCAGCGGGTAAACAAATGTTGATTGTGTCGTAATGATCAATAAAACGTTTATCAGACCGGCTTAGAAACACGCTCAATACTCACAAATCCCTATCTCATCAATGACAATTTTCAAGTGGACTTTAGTCTCAGCGAATCTTTTATACGAATTGCTGTTGAAATTTGGCTTTAGACGTTATTTTAGGAATTTTACTTTTCTGATCATCTACAATTAAAAGCCGAGAATGCCTACGTTTCGATAATTAAATTTGTCAGTTTTCATGTGCAATACGCATAATATTGATTGATAGCATGAATCATTTCTATATAATGATTTTTGTAACAAATAGCATATAAAATTTGGTTTTAAAAAACACTATTTATCATAAATGTTAACATCAATTTTATTATTTGATGTTGAAAATTCTATTCGTTTTTCTATTACCAACTATATTATTCGCAATGAATAAATGCAATAAAACTTCTTCACCATCAGTTCCATGTGAAACGAATAGTGGTCTACCCACAAAAATGTCAATTAATTTTGTTACGAATAGTCGCAAAAAACGTTCATTTCATAAACGTGAACTGTTTGATGCTATTGACGAATTAAATCACATTCTTGGAGTAATGAATCAAACATCGATGACGACTACATCTGTTCCATCTCAGTCACTTAAACTAGAACACGGTTTCATTGATCGTCTTCAAAAGATTGTTAATATCAGTAGTCAACTGACGACGACCACGGAAACAACGACGACTACAGATGTTATGCCGCATGTTGATGATCGATTCGATCAACTTTTAGGGTACTACTGTTTGAGAATCTATTTCAACGAACTTAAATTTAGTTCTTCGTTTTGTCCACTCAAATGGCAATCATGTTACCTTCTTTATAGTTTGTTACACCAAAAGACCACAACAGCAACGATTTCTGTGATTAATGACCTACATGTCATCGATGAAATTGAACATATTCTTCGATCATTTTCTACTAATAGCACGACTATTACTACCAGTCCTACGCGTGTCTTCAATTCGTCATCACCAACAACAATAGGATTTCATGTGTCTCGAGTTGATGATATGCTACGTCTAACTGTTGAACCTTCTTATGAACAACAGCCATTTTTAAAAGACTCAATCGATAGAGAATTTCGATCTGAAAAACAATCACAATATCCACCATCATTACGATCATTACCTGTTACTCTTGGTCGACAATTAGATATTTCCTGTTTGTCAGGTATACGCAGAAAGGCATTATTACCACAAATAACAATCACTATCGGTATGTACAAATCACGCCTCAGAGCATTGAGCATTGAAAATTTTTGAAATCATCGAACATTGCGTTTCTAATTGTAGGTACTCAAGATCTTCAAAATGTCAATAGTCATGATCAACTCATTGACAATAGTAAACATTTATATCAACGTATAGTTATTGCTCATTTAAAAATTCACCAAGGTCATAATCAACAAACTATCGCATGTCGATCGATCGACATTAATAATAATAATGATGATAATAGCGATAATGATGAGATAATGATGGTTCAACCATTTTATTTTAATGTTAAACAACCCATTCAATGTAAATCAGCGGTATGGCTCATGTTTATCAATATTGAGAAGAAAATATCTTGTCCAATTGAACAAAGCAATGATTCAACTATCAAATACAAATGGAAAGCACCAGATGGATCTAGAGCACTAGTTGGAAAACAGGTAACAACATATAAGAAATAGTGATGAGACTGTATTCTTACTTCTTTCTCATGTTAAATGTTGTTCACAATTATTAGAGTTTTCTCTTTTAGCGTATCTTTATGTTTTTCTTGATGTCGCATGTAGATATGTGTATGTCAGACATGAGGATACATATAGAAAAGAAAAGATGATCTGTATGCGACATCAAGAAAAAGATCAGGATACGCTAAAAGAGAAAACTCTATTATCTAAAACTACCATGCTAGTTTTCAAGATGGGATAAATAATATTTTAGTTAGTTGTGCAATGGCAAACTGTATCGATTATTGTTCTCCATTTTGGCAAAAACTATTTTGTTGAAAAAATATGAAATTTTAAGGTTGAAAAGTTCAAAAATCCATTTTTCTGCCATTAAATATCCATAGCTAATTGAAGTTAATATCATATTTGTGTTCGTTTAATAAAACTGCAGCGATTTAATTATTTTAGAAATGTTCGCTATCATGCATCCGATATCTGTGATCTTTACAATACCACTACTAAAAAAAAGTTGTAAGATTGATAGTTTATCAATATTTTACTTGCAACAATAAATCAATCATTTTTTTTTCAATTATTTGAAAAAAAGTTCCAGATTGTCATACATGACAGATCGATATTTGTTGAACTATACTGTTACTATTCGAATTAATTGTTTAACACATGGTAGACATGTATTATCAATCTTTTTCGAAATCAATTTAAACTGTTTAAACGCCATACTATTATACGATTTTATTGACATTTTTGTAAAGAGTTAGGATTCATTTGCTTGTACTCGATGAAAAGTTGTTTTGAATATGTGTCAAAAAATGATGGAAGGTTGATATTAAAATCAGATTTTTTAAGGATCACTGTTGCATCCCTCAATTCTTGATCATTAATCATAACATCATCTTCTTCACTACATTGGATCAAATCTTTATAATATCTAAGAAGATGATTTGTAATGGTAGCACCATTTCCTTTGGAATAAAATTTTTTCCTAGTATCTTTATCTGAACACTGAAAATAAAAAAGTAATCGTGCTTGTCGAAAAATTAAATTTATTCTTATTTCAATTAAAAACATCCACCAAAAATGGTAACTATTTGAAATAGTTTACGTGAGAATTAATAAGAAGCATTAAATTTAGTAACTACTGTTCTGTCCATTCCCTTCAAGATTTCGAAATGTTCATGGGTTATTCAAGATCACATTCATTGAGAAATACATTTTGGGTTTTTTCCTAAAAAAGCTCAAAGACTAGTTAATCAATGTTGACTTTAACTCATATTTTTTTCATTCTGAATGGAACTTCTATTTTTTCAAGAAAGTAATTTTCAGCAAAATGAAAACAATGATGGATAAAATTTATTATTCTTTGCTTAGATTGATTCTCAATTTCTCAATTATCGTATATCATCTGACAGAGATTTCGGTGATTTAATTTGTGAAACTCAGTCTATCACAGGTGATAAACAAGAATGTATCGTACGGCTACTTTCAACAGAACAATATCTCAAAAATCTGATTGTAATGAGTCCGTATGGAGGAGTACTATTGGCGATATTTCTTATCCTCTTCTATTGTTGTACCGTCGTATATTTACAAAAACGAAAACAAAAAATGGCATCGCAAACAACAAATGCTCCAGTTCAATCATCCCTAGAACCATCAAAGCTTCGCGACAAGAAATTACTACCTCGTCAACGATTCTTAAGGCCGCTGGGTCAACATCATTTTCAACCACGAATAGTAAATCAAATACAAGATGATGATGAAGAGTTCATAGCCGCCGATGAAATTATAACGGTGGTACCAGCCACACATGATGCAACACAACAAACACACAATGCGTTACGAAAGACATCAGATGGTGGGAAAAGGTCGATTACTGTTTTCTTTTTCTCCTTCATATTTAGTGCATACTTTTTTCATATGTAGACGTGGTCGATTGTTTGCTAAAACGCAAGTAAGGAGTCAAAAGTATCTTCATCAACAACCAACATTAATGTTATCATCAGTTTATAATAACTCTTGGCCCGATGTAAACCAAGATGAGATTGTTGTTGAAGAAATAAATCCATATCGTTTTGATTCAACTGAACAAGATTGTCTGTTACATTCACTAAAGTCTAATGAAACGTTAACTAAGAAAACAACAGCAGCAGTGAACAAGAAAAAACATTTTTATGTAAAACGATCTCTACTCAAAAATCTCTTCCCAACCACAGCATTTTTCAGACAAGTATTTAATCGAAATGCTTCAACTGGAACTGGAAAAAAGCATCATCGTCATCATTCGAGTAGAAAAATAAATAAAAAATACTCACTAATATCACAACAACAACAACAACAGCAACAGATTTTATCATCAGAAGTAAGCTGCAAAAAAAAACAATCGTCACATATTTATCTGTATGTGATCCGTATTGATATGGTATCTTGTATTATTGTACCGATTTTCTCGATCTAGAATAACTCCAATATCCATAATACAACAGACTGGTTTTATTCACCACATTCTTCGTCTTCACACACAGTAAAACATTTTAAACAACAAAAATTTTCGTCATGCCCCTCAAAAAATATACTGTGTAACAAGGAAATCATTTCACCCCACACATCACTCGCTCACTATCATCATCAAAAGATTTCGCCATCCATCTCTAAAGAAAAACAAAGCGTTTTTGAATCATTCTACGACGAAAAGAAGCCATTTAGTTCGAAACAAAACAATAATAACGTCGATGAAAAGTATACAAACAACAATTGTCTTATCTACGATTTTCAACTTTGGTTTTTCTCTGTTTTAGTAAACATACTGGGGACAAAAAAGTTCATGTTCAACAAATGGTTCAATATTTCAATCGATTAACATCGCTAACATACAATACTAAAAGAGTCAAAAGTTCGATCTCTGAGCCATGTTGTCATAAAAATGATCTCATAGAAGAATTATCACACACCTATGATAAAATTGATTCACAAAATGAAAAGTATGGTATGAACAGAATGAATATTCAACATATACGACGACATTATATGAACAATAATCATTACTCAAATCAAATACAATTTTCAAAAGTAGCTAAACATTGTCCAAATATTTTGTTTTAGATAGAAACTGGTCCGGCTAATCCTTCAACAAGCTTATTCCTTAATAACTTAAAAATGTATATAATTTCAGCATTTATATGTCAAATGTGTATTATTTGTAACAGTACATTTAGAAAATGCTTGCTGAACTTTAACTGAATCTAGAACAAGACATAAATATCTAAAGAGACCTTTGTTTGGTTCTAAATATAAAAACAAAACAAATATTGAGCTGATAAGCTTTTTGTTTGTTTTCTAAAAAAATTTATTTCACTGTCAAAAAATTAACAAAACACATCAAGAAAAAAATATTTAATTTGATCATTTTTTGATCATTTATAATACCTCAAGTTTCATAGTTTTATAAAGAAAAACGACCGTAAGTAAAACTATCTGCCTATAACGATTTTAGTGTCGCATAATGAGAGATAAAACTTAAGGGTATCTTCTCCCTCATTTCTTCTCTTGTTATAAAATGGTAGCGACTGATCGTGGAGAGTTAGAATTTTTTACTATAGTATCATCTCGAAAAAACCGGCATATTTGTTGCTCAGACCTTAGAATTCACTTTTAGGTATGATTTCCTTGAAAACCAAGGTTTTCATTGCGTTTCGATGTAAAATCTCTAATTGATATTGGAATTTTTTTGCTATATATTCACATATAACTTTAATATTATATTTTAATTATACACTTACCGGTATGATACGAACTCCTTCAGTAATCATGTCTAGAATACTAATTTCTATGATGTATGTCTATCTCTTACAAAATCAATAATTTGTCCATTTATCCGCCTTTTTGTATATAATAACAAGTCTTACATACGATTCGTCTATGGACGTGGTTGTTAAACAAGGTAACGCTCATCTGCACTCGTCCGGTTCCTTGACTTTAGTAACTTATATCCGCGAAGGACCTTCCATGCCTTTTGGATCAAAGACAACGCTCGCGCCTCGCTAAGCTCGGCGTTTGCTACGTGACTATCTAAAATAAGTTATGAATTTTTCTCTAAGGTTCGTAATCTAATGTAAATCTAAAAAGTTTTCTCGACACCAGAGCTATCAGATGCTCAGGTCCGTAATGCTGAAAATTGCGGAAAATTTTAAGAAAGTCAGAATACGGAAACAAAACGGAAACACAAGATGAGTGATTCGCTATACTTAGTTGGACAATATGATGAGGATCCGCAATAGATAGGAAAAAAAAATTTTAAATCTTATATGCACTGGGGAAAAATGCTTAAAATGCGGACAATCTGGCGACTCTGCCCGAGACCCTCTGAAGATCCTCAGAGATGAAAAAATATTCCTAAATGCAATACATTGCCCGCGCCTCCCTTCGACTGGCGTTCGGAGATTCGTCTATCGATGTGATTGTTAAAAAATAAGATCTGGAACCGGATTGGATTGATCTACACTGGAAATTCCTGAACTATCGAGGATTATTAATACAAGTTAAATATATGAAGCTAACATATATATGTCATTTTTTCATTTTTTCCTTTCCTCACTTTCCGATCGTAGATACGTGTGTTCGAATCTTAATTTGACGAAAACTACAAATTGTAAGTATAAAATAAGTCTATATACTACCAGCAAACAATAAGAGACCTGGGTATATATGAATAATTTCATAGGGTATTATGACATCTTTTTACAAATATAGTCGTGTTCGTTTGCTTCCAACTTGAGATTTCTGTCACTTGTTCATAGGTGCTTTTCCCGATCTACTGGTACAGAATCTCATTTTTTTATTTATTTGTTCCAGGATTAAGTAGTCGCGTTCCATCTTGAGAAGTAAAACGCCGGCATAGTTAGTGCTTGTTTTTCCCAAACAGAGATGATTTCAACCGAAATATTCGAGTGGAACGTATGGATGCCCATATCTCTTCAAAATATTAAATCGTCTATGAAGCGTTTTTGCTAGAATAAGATCAATAAGATCTGTGTGAACAATGTGATCATTCAGAGTTTGATTTGTTGTCGTGATCAATTTAATGCCGTAGCACTTTTTTTGTAATTTCTCTTTTTTTATTATAAAACTAATTTTTTGTATCAAAATACACATTTATCGACGAGAAAAAGAATTGCCACAAAAACATAATAATAATCACAGAAACGAAAACGAAACAGTTTTCTTGTTTAATGCAAAAACAGTATCCCCACTTATAGTTCATCTAATTTTTGTTTCATTACTTCAATTTTTTCTAGAAAATATTGTACGAATTCCTGGTATTGTTTTAACAATTTATCATCAAATTTTGATTCATCTTGTTTTTGTTCACCATATATAAAATCATTGACCATTTTTGTTTTTGTTTGCAAATGTTTTAATTGTACATGATAGTTTTTCAATTGCTGCTTCATTAATAGTTCTTGATCACTTAACACCGGTGTTATATTTTCAATTACGGACAATATATCGTTCAAATTCTTCTCTATATTTTGTCGACGTTGTTGCTCGCGTGAATACTCTTCTAGTAAATAATCACTCTGATGTTTGACACGTTTGAATGTTGTCTCTAATTCTCGACAAGCGATCAATTGAGTTTGTGTCAAATCGAACAGATATCGTTGTTTATTTTCTAATTTTTTTTGAACTTGCAATTGTTTTGATAGATAATTTTGAGTAAAAATATCAATAAATTTTTGTAAATTTTTTTCAAAATCATCGTCAGATATGACTGATTGGGCGTTTTGTGAATTTGTTGAACGTAAGCGAGGTATGGTTTCATCACGAGTTTGTAGTAAAGAACGAATATGTTGAAAAAAATCATCGTTTTTTATAACAGATCGTTTTGGTTCTACTACCAGACATAATGGTCGATCGATATCTGATGAGGTTGACGATGGTGACAAATAGGCAGAATTTGGACGCAGAAGAGTTATATGCTAAGAATACAAATAAGAACATTGATTAGAAAAATGATTTGCATATTATACGAGAGGGTAGAAAACAGGCTGCAATTCAAGTTGTGTTTTGATGAAAGAAAAAAAATTATAGTATACATATTCTCTTGAAATCTCGGGAACGATAGCTGATCCAAGTCTAACATTTATAGTAAATACAGAATTACTCAAATGTTGATCATCAAAAATGTATTCCAGATGTTTAGATGCTTCGCTGTGAAATAGAGTTTTTTAAGTTTATAATGGAAAACTAGTGTTATTTTTTCTCAAATACTAGTGCAAAGGATGCCAGCTAACACGGTTATATAGTTGTTTTAAAGTATATTCATTATAAGTTAAACTTCTTGACACTCCCTGCTAAATCGGCTCGCCATTGCATAGCAAGAAGTGCAAGTCCACGATGTCGTACGTTACCAATAACAATTATATAGTTACGTACTGACCTTGGCACTTTATCTCTGGTAAAAAGGGTATCAATTGCGAACGTTTTTTGTTGAAACAGCACGAAATTTTTGAAAGTTGTCGTATCCCGAAATATTATTGTTCGCAGTTACTAACTGTTACTACAAAACAATTCTATAACTCAACGAAAAAAGCATACTTTAAAACAAAATCTTCCAGTTATGTCGATTGAAGACCATACTGTACAAAACTTTTCAATATAGTAGAGTTGTTCAGGGTTCACGATCTCTTTTGCGAATGGGAAAAGCTAAATTTTGGCAGAAGGTACATTCTGAAAATTTTCCAGAAAGTATGTTTTTTGTATAAATTTTACATAAACAAAAACGTAGTTTTCAATATACAACGATGCAGCAGAAATTCCAAAAGTTTCGAGAGGAGAAAGCTCCTCCATTCCCCTTTTTAGTCGCAAAGCGTAAGTTTGTTTATGCCATATATTACTGTTATTCCAATATTTGCAAAAAATGGCATTTAACTTCAGTTTAGTAACTTTAGCCTTCATTAAATTTTAACGGCACAACCGTTTCAAGAACTACAAAGTGATGTATAAGTCATTGGCTAGCTTTGATATTTGAGTAAACTTTAAGCCTTACTATTATTAGAGTTCGGTATCAAAACCGATGAAAAGTACAAAAAATATCATAATGGTTCATAAATCATTTGATAAATTTTCGTAGGTCACGGCATATCCATAAATAGACTTCAGTTCACGCTGTGAATAACAAAATTTTGTCATAGTTTTATGTAGCTGATGATTCAAACAAAAAAAAAGAATATTTTAACTTACTTTATCATTTCCATAATCATTCTCTGTTATAATACAGAGCCATTGTCCATTATTCATTGTTTGTGCTAAACCCATAAATTTGATTTTTTCATCCCGTTTATCTTTTTGCATTTTTGTGCTTGCCTTTTTATTCTGTTCACTAGTTAATCTTGTTGTCATTAAATACTCAACTTTTGAACGTGACATCCGTTTTTGATATTGATCAGAGAAATTTGGCGTACCTTTAATAAATACAGCATAACTCATCATGAAATAGTCAACATTAATTGAAAAGTTAAACATATTTTAAGGTTTATTTAAAGGTTAAGAGAAATATGGTTGTAAAAAGATATTTGTCATATTCTCGTAGAATATATTCAATGTCAAATATTTTTGCTTACTTTGTATTTGGTTAACATTGTCTAACCATTCAATATCAATTGAATAGATGTTTGATTCATCCGCCACGTAATAGCGCTTATCTGACAGTGGATCATATATAATGAACATTTGTGATGAGAGAGCAGAGATTTCTGGCAAAATAATTGAATCGATTATGTACAAGATCGTTTCGTGTTCTTTTGATTGTTGATGATTTTCTTGAATCGATTCATTTAATGTTAATTGATTATGAAGTACAAGTGACTGATTCAAAATAAATTTATCACGAATATAAACAAGACATGTTGATCCCGAAGAAGATTTAATACAGGTCATTGTTGCTGTACGACATCCATAATTATCAAATGAAGAGGGGTAGATTCGCAATGGACCAGTAAATGAGGGTGGATGAGAACTAAAGAAAATTCAAAAACTTTTTACTATAACTAGACTCATTTTCATCTTTTACATACTTAGTTATAATATCTTGTTCATATAAATATAAACAATAAATATTTCCATCTGTTTTTATAGCAAATATTGGTAAATACATTTGTTGTTTTTCCTGAGAATATTTTTGTTGACCATAATCCAACTTAATTATTTCTGGTAAACTATTTAGTGAAATTTTCTTTTCTTTTGATGTTAATGTTATAGAATATGTTTGACATAAATCACATTCCTTGCCACGTTTGGACAGTTTGTAAAGTAAACATTGAGAATTTGAGTACGCGACGAGAAAATATTGATCAAACGGCGATGGCAACCAGATAAAATCAATCAAATTCATCAACGATGGCTGTGATAGACAAATAATTGGACAAAATAAATTAATTAACGATGATGGAGACGATTTTTCTAAACAGTAGCAAAACAAATTACCATTTTTGGCAAAAAATCAACAATGAATATACAAAAGGATTAAATAAATTCAGTTTAAGAGTCATATGAGATTAAGTGAGACACCTTGTTCGATACAGCATCAGAATCTTGTAGTCCTGTGTTGTAAGAAAGTCTATTGTTTTTGCTGAAGAAATGTTCATTGATTCAGAAGGCTAACCTGTTGATTTGATAATTTTATTTTTATCATTCTCATTTGTTAAATATGGTGGTAAGTGTACGATATAAGCCACATTTTCTGCTAACATAGTTAGAATCGTTTCAGTTTTATTTAATAATAAACGTTGAACCGGCTCTACTGATAGCGATGATAAACGTAAACGTTGACATTGATCTTGAGTAATTTTAGTTGCAATGGTTCTTGACAAAAATAATTTATCCCAGTGATAAACATACAAACAATATTCAGAATCACAATAACCAATTAAATACGATTCACCAAATGTGTAAATATTAACATTGGGAATGCTGAGAAGTACACGAATAGAATGAGGGAGTGATGTATAAATCATTGTTGTTGTAGACTCAGATAAGGTTGGTGGTTGCTGAACATCACTTGTTTTTGTAGTTTGCAGTGGTTTAACTAAAAACGTGGCGTTAGTCGCTGGTGATTTAATAGGAAATGACGAATTTGTTGATGTTTGAGAAAATGGATCACCTCTGGTAGCCGTGAACGAAAAAGAATTAGATGCTGCTATTGGCAACTGAGATATTTTGCTATTAGACCTTGAATTCATCATTAGATCTGAAAACAAAGAACAAAGGCAATTATAATAAAACTGAGTGAAATATGGTTATTTGGACTGAGAGGTCTGATCTGCATCTATCAAACCATAATCTAAACTCCTATTCTGATGCTATTTCTCACTAGTGAAATACGAGTCTTTCTAGGATATTTTAATTCGTTTGTGATATTTCTTTATCTGTTAAACTTTAAAATGTTGGATCACATCTTCTTAGGTGAACTTTTTCGAACATGTTATCGATAAATAGCAACACTACAAGGGGAATTACTTTCTACAAGACCAAACACAGCTGTCGACCGGAATAAAACGTTTTTGAAAATGTTATACTATCTCTGAAAGAAATTTGCTATTCTTTTTTCATCGGAACAACTCTTAATATTTTCTCGTTGTTTAGATAAGTTGCAGCAGATTGTGCACTTCTGATGCATAGTAAACCGATCTAATGTTAGTTTTTTTGATTTCTAGCTTTCTGTCATGTTGAAGTAGCTTGATATCGTATATCTTGAGGAACGAATGAGACAATACAATTTGTGTGTATTTCATGAGAGTGTGATTCTAAGTGTCAAGTGGCGTAAGTAGAACAACCTTCCGACACGCAGCAAAATATTGTAAATTATCTGTGTGGGAGAGATGAGCTGGAAAAGAACTGTGTTATAAGCCACAGCTGTATTCAAAAACAGAACATAGAATTTGAAAGGGTGCAAGCCTAGAAAGATGATTCCCTATTAGAGACTACACTGTTCACCCTTAGCATTTTTAGTATTTAGATACAATGAGATACAAAATCTTCTTTAAAGATTAAATTGTCTGAGACGATATACTTAGGGCTATCCAAAAGTAATGAGGGAGGTACTATTTTTTCTTATAGAAAGCTTGAAAAATTTTTCTTTTTTTATGAACAGATAGAACGTCTTTCGCTCTATTTTTCTATGCTATTTGATCACTATTCAACTAATATCATAATAATAAAATTTCGATAAAATCTATTTCTTTCGCATATGTGCTGATAGCATGAGTGCTCGTGAGTACTTTTTGAATAATGTTTAATAGCAGCAAGATAGAGAACTGCGGTTTCCACCCCATTGGAAAGAGGAGATGAAAACGCATTGAACCATATATTACTGATTTTTCTAACCTGTTTTTTGTAAGGTTTTTAGTTGACCTTTTAAAGAACAAACGTATTCCGTGAGTTGTTTACAATTACAGCAATGGTGAAAATCGCAGTTCTCTATCTTGTTACTATCAAACGTTATTCAAAAAGTACTCACGAGCATTCATGCTATCAGCATATATGCGAAAGAAATAGATTTTATCGAAATTTTATTATTATGATATTAGTTGAATAGTGATCAAATAGCATAGAAAAATAGAGCGAAAGACGTTCTATCTGTTCATAAAAAAAGAAAAATTTTTCAAGCTTTCTATAAAAAAAAATAGTACCTCCCTCATTACTTTTGGATAGCCCTAAGTATATGAATTTCAACAAACTCAAGCAACGATAATTGTTGAATCAGATAATAAATGTGTTGCAAGCAAAAATTAAAACAGTTACGCTGACATCAAACATAGGTGTTATGGAGGAACAAACAACTATAACATTAAAATAACTGTTCTTTCGCATCAGGCATCAGTTTTTTGTTTAACTTCTCCTGGTCAAAAATAAGAGTCCAGCATGTATAGTTCCTCGGATGGACCCCAGGTCATCCACTTTGTCATGTGTTAAATAATCCATCCAGCTAACACTTTTCATTCACCAAAGTGGATGACTATTTTTAACAAGATCTAAGTAGATCCGTCCCTTTCTCACTGTAAGTTATACTTGTAATCTGTTTTATTACTTCTTCTGCGATAAGCTTGTTGACGATAGTATTTAGTGAACATCAAAAAGGTATAGACGATTTATGTTCACTTAAGAATTAATACAAATGGACACATAATAATAATGATTGCATCAAAACATTCCCTATATTGACTTGACTGTTTTTATAACTCAGCAACCGTAAATGATTTACGTTATATTAGACAGATACACAAAGCATTCGATTACGCACTGAAATACTCTACAAATTATGCAAAATAGGTTTATTCAAGCATGAGTCACTTATACCATAAACGCAAATGTATCAGAAGGAATTTTAATTATCATTTGTGCGGCCATGAATTATAATATAAATGGAATAGCGATATCCTCAAATAAAATCAGCGTTTCTAAAATATCTAGCTAACTATATCTCACCTAAATTTTCAGTCGCAGAAAGGGATCATCTACATAATATAAGAAGCATAGAGTCTGCAGGAACCATACTGATCAGAATAAGCGTTGATAGAAAAGTATCCCGGACAAAGTTATGCATTTCTTCAATGTGGAGCGTTTTTAAAAGATCGGTTTTACTAAAAGCTTAACCGGGCTCGAACTATAGCTTTGCTATAGTTACGAGAGAGGATAAAAAACGGAAAATCATCCACTTTTCCGATTACCAAGGCCGAATTCAACTTCTATTCGATGAAGTCGAAATTTATCACATATGATATAATATGATATGCTTCTTCTAGCCGAAATCTTGGAATGTACTTACTCATTGGTGAATAAGAAACGAAAGAAAAAATGAAAGTGATGTCGCGAATGTATATTATTCATTGCAAAGCTGTTAACAAAAACTGACAGAACCTCATCTGGCTATATTGCTCAATTAAGATTTTCATCGAGATTACAAATATCAAACTTTTTCTTAGAAAAGAAAAATTTTGTACACATTTCTTGGTATAGCCGAGCCTTAGAAACGTTCTAAAAGATGTTTTATTGTGATTTTTGTGACTGAGCCAATGCGTTTAGTTTCCAAAAATATGATTTTTGAAAAGAAGTCAGAACTAGACATAGGATAAAGGTGGGTACAGAAAAATAGGCAATGAAAAATCGTACAAAGTGATATATGACTCGTCCTTAGTAACCAGTTGAGAATAGAGAAATTTTTTTTTTAATCAATTGGTATCCGAAGTCGAAGACTGTATAACTGTTGCAATCCAACTCGTGTTTAGTATAGAAAAATTGTGCTTGTAAAATTCTACAGTATAGGTTAATAGAAAATTTAACGGAAGTTGGCAACATCTTTTGTGAATTTAATACTAGATTTTCCCATATGTTTCAGCTATGACATTGCACCTAACCGGTATAGACTTTCATTGGAAACCAGGACTCGTATCGATGACTTCGAATAGCCTTGAAATCGGGTGGAACATAGGTAATCGACAACCCTGGATCTTTCAGCAATATTTGTATTTTAAAACAAATGCAAAAACCTGTGAAAACCGAGTTTTACGAAAATTAGGGTTTTTCAAGCTGATTTCGCTTAATACTAAAAATTTCACTATGTACTCAAAAAACGTCAGAACGAGTTGAAAACTTCAGGATATAGTTAATTATGCCCGTTAAACTTGAACATGTTATTCGAAAGCACAAAATTATTGGTGTGTTCAGAGATTGGTGTGTTCTTTTTCTAGAAATCCTTTTTACAAAGGATAGAGTTTTATAATTCTTTTCTCTAGATTTCTTAAGAACATCATATACAATGCGCTAAATACTGTACACCCTGCATTTTTGGAAACCTTAATCCATTTGACGCACGGTCACAAAAATCACAATAAAACATTTTCTAGGACATTTCTAAGGCTCGAGAAATGTATACAAAATTTTCTTTATAAATTCCGATTGAAAGTAACTTAAAGATACCGTAGGCAGATTTCGCTTAACATTGGCCCCTGTCCTTTCCATCGATCATCAACTGCCGGTTAGCATCCTATTTTGAAATAGGTAATATATCACGACAAAAACTAGCATTTAACGTCGCAAGTAAATGTCAGTTAGTCATCGTACCTCTCGACGAGGTAGCTTCTGAGTCTGCGACTACTGGAACTAGAAAATCAACATAGTTAGAATGCTGATTTTCCATTTCATAGTTTATAACATTATGTTTAGCATATTTTTCAGCACATTTTGTTGAGTTCCGTCTCCGATTTAAGCCTCTGATCAGGCCTTCGGTCTCTAAAGCTCGATATCTTGAACAAAGAGAAAAAGTTGAGTGGAAACACGCCATCTGAAACCTAAAATGCAATAAATTATTAATTGTCAATCTATTATTTCTTCTAGTTGAAGAGTTAGGGCCTCATTCGTTTTGGAGATCAGTCAAGAATGAGCTCATCATAAAGTGGTCTCTGAAAATTCAGACTTAAGTACACACAACACATGTCAATCTAAGAATAATACGGACAACAAATGCACACCATTGCAGCGTAAAATGTATTGCTCGATTTTGACTGATATATTAAAATCACAGCCTAAAATCCTGTTCTGTCCTTGTTCGATCATGGCAAGTATATTAGTGACAGGCATTAGAGACAGAATATTTTTCCGCTTGTACACTAAAAGAATAAAGCTTATATCAACCCTATCATATTCGAAAATTTAATGGTCGCTCCGCGCTGAACCAAATTAGATAAAAACTGGGTGCCAGGTGCACTAATAACAAAAATAAAATTTCGACAAAAAACACGTAAATAGATCTAATGAACGCCTATAATAGCATTCCTCATTAGATGAACAACAAATTCAGCTATGCAAGACTGCTGCGAAGGCAGTAGATCACTGTTTCAGCCGTATGGATTCGGTCGTATTTTTCGGTTA